ATCCCTGCATCATATTACAGAATGTTGCCATGTAAATAACAGCACTGATCTTAAATAAATGTTGTAAGACAAAAGATTGAAATAGGAAATATCATTGTTAAGGCTACATTATTAGTTCACACACATAGGTTTTGTTTACCATTATTGGTAAAATATAATGTGCTTTGTTTCTCAAATGGTGATTATACTATGGTAATAATGATGAAAATACTGATTAAAATATGATAATGTGTGGTAATACTGATGATAGTAATAATAATATGAGAATAATAATAAAGGACAGGGCAACAATAATGATGGTTGTAATAATGATTCTTATGAAAACGATATTGTTAGTGACAATACTGTAGTGAATACTCATCCTGTTTTTTACCATTGTTATTTTTTATATCCCCTATTTTCACTCAGTCCAAACTTTTAGCAAGTGTGGCTTTCACTGCAATTCTGAATTCTGAGTGAGGACCTTGAACTGAAAAGAGGTTGCCAGCTCTTTGTTTACAGGGGACAACCATTTACTGCTGAGCAAGCCACTATGGCTTGATGAATGAACTATGAACAAACCATGTCATAACAAAATATGTGAATTAAATCAATTCTTCACTAGAAAAGGAATATTGAGGGCAGGCTGATATAGGCCTCCTGGAGTTATCCAGCCACCAAAAACTGCACTAGCAACTGGACTGTAAGGGCCATTGTGAGGCATCTGCCTGGGTGAAACTTCCAGCTGTTTCCTTCCTAGTTCCTCTTTCCTTCCACAATAGTTAGTTGAACTTAAGAAAAAAGGTGTCTTGTTGCTAGCTCTTAGGGCCAGTTGGAAGCTCTGCTGATGGTTGTTTGTTTCCATCTAGCCACCCATACCTGTGGCCAAACTGGGCCACCCTCCCTGAGGCCAAGCACTTTCAACAGGAACTTCAAGCAGCACACTGCCTTCTCAAGCAACAGCTGGATATTGCCCAAGTTTCCTACAAATGTACCACTGACCATCATCACCTGGAAGGTTCTCCCATTGCTGTTGGGGATTGCATATTGCTTTCTACCAAGCTCTTACTTTCAGAAATTTTTCAATTTCAGACTTCCGGGTGAAGAATGGTGAGCTAGCATGTCTCTGAATGAATGGAGACAATGTTGCAGCCACAATCGAAGGACCTGTGAGTAGTCTGGTCCCATGGAACCTCTCCAGATAAAGAGAGGACAGGAGATTTCCCACTTGTGCTCCTGACAGCTGCTTCTCACAAGGAACTGCAGATAGTGGTTTCCCATGGGTTTGAGTGCTAGGAGATGAAGGGAAGCCATCACGCTCTCAACTGTGGCACAGCCTTTTACAGGACACTGGGTCCTGTAACCTCACTTTCTAATCACTTTCAGAAATTTCCTATTTAACTATCTTAAGGCTATTAGATATCTTTAAAATGATAAGTTTGCAAAGCAACCTGGCGAATTTACCTTCACTCCAGAATAAAAGAAAAATTAACTATAAACTTAAGAATTTGAAGTAAACAACAAAAAGCTAAATAAGACTTTAATCCAAGAAAGTTATAAGTGAATTAAGGGACCAGACAAATTTGGAATATTGGGACTTTTGCTATAACATTTTGGAAATAATTATATAAATAAACAGCACCTTCGTGGGAACTAAACTGTTTAGTCTACCTTAAGTTATAACAGAAATTCGAGACTTTATAATTTCAGAAATTGGATCCTAGAGGGAAC